TTTTCTTTTTTCCGATTTTTTTTTTTTATATTAGTAAGGGTATTTTGGTATTTTTTGGGCGCGGTATCTGGCTTTTGGGTGCGGTATTTAGTAGTTGAGTTTAATTATATTGACAATATTAAGGATAGTTGAGTTTAGTTAAAGTTGAGTTAGATTTTGAATATGAATTGAGTATAAATGGAAATAATTTGTAACTAAGACATATAGGGAATAAGATGTGTGGCCAATATTTAATCTTTTATTATTTTTTAATAATTTAAATATTGATTTGACCATTTGCTCTTTGACCTCTGGCGTTGACCTTTGACTTTCGGTGTTGAATGTTGTCTTTCGGCATTGCTTGTTGACCATCGGCGTTTGACCGTTGATCGTAACATATTGTGTAAACTAATTATGCATTGTTTATGAAGTAAATATGGACTCGACATATGCAACTGATATGAACTTAAGTGCATTTTGTATGAAAAAAGTTGTATTTTTTATCAACTAAATGTGCAATGATAATAAGAAATAGATATCAACTAAGTATGCATTGTTCATGATCCTAAATATGCACTATGTATGAACTAAATGCTATAAAAATAAAAATATAATATCAAATTATTTATATAATTTATTATACATTTTGTATGAAATAATGTGCACTCAAAATATACAATTGATATGAACTAAATATGCATTTTTGTATGAATTACATATATATTCTTTATCAACTAAATATGCAAGGATAATATACAATAGATATCAATTAGGTATGCATTGTTCATGGTAAATAATACAAATTAAGTATATATATAATTATGCGTTGTGTATGAAGTAAATGTGCACTCAAAATATGCAATTGATATGAACTAAATATGCATTTTGTATGAACGAAATATGTATTTTTTATGAACTAAATGTGCAACGATGATATGCAATAGATATCAACTAAGTGTGCATTGTTCATTAACTAAATATACATTATGTATTAACTATGTATGCATGTTGTATCAACTAAATGTGCAATCAAAATATGCAATTAACAGTAATATATTCTGGAGTCTTACTAACTGCAGCTACTAAGTATGCATTGTTCATGAACTAAATATGCGTTATTTATTAACTTAATGAGCAGTCAAAATATGCAATTGGCAGCATTATATTGGATCCTTCGCCTTTTTTTATGTTCTCAATTAAATGTGCATTATATATGAACTAAATATATATTTTATACTATCTAAATATACACAATAAATAAACTGAATATGCATATAGCATATACTAAAAAACCCAAGGGCAAGAGTACACTTATCCAAACATATATAATTACAAATTAACCTCAAGGACCATATTGCAGTAACTCATAAGTTTTTTAAATTGCAACTAAATCTATAGGACATGTCTAATTTTTAAACACAAGTCCTTGGCCCCAAAATTCGACTTTCAGCCCAATCCTCCATCAATACCCGCTTCATCCTCCTCTTCCTAGTCACAGTCGTCGTCGTTTTCCTCCGCTGTCGGCTTCAACTCCACCACCCTCATCCTCATTGGCATCTCCATGTACTGGCGAATGCGCAAGGACAATAAGTGTCGCCTCGCCATCTCCCGTCTCCTCGAGCAGTACCCCAATCGTGTCGAGATCATGCAGCTCGACGATTCCACCTGCGAGATTCGACCACAATAGACCTTGCCCTTCGACAACCATTACCTACCCACAACCTCATCATCGTGCCCGACAAGGAGTGCCAGCATCCTGATTTGCTCACCTCCTCCTCTGAATCCCTCCGCCTCTGGTAGATATTCGGTTATGACGATGGATAAGGGGCGGTTTAGTGGGCGGCGGGCGGCAGCGAGGAAGGAGCGCATGAGAAGGGCTTGGTCAGTGAGGAAACTCGACCGATGCTTCAATTTCCTGAGACGATAATGATTACCGGAGCTAACCGATCAACGTTGGTCCAAGGTCACTGGACAACAGTCAACGTCGGTCGACATTCATTTATCTTTTAATTATATAATTATTTTAAATATAATAATTATTATTTTTTATTAAATAATTAATGAAAATCTGATTGATTAATATGAACTCCTGATTGTATACAAATCAATAACTAGGATTGATCCTCATAGGACTTTTCAATAAGGCTCGGCTGTAGGGAAGCGCAACTAGTCTTCGCGAGCGAATGCGCGTCCCAGGTTCTTACGAGACAGTTTCAACTTTGGTGTGGATGAGAATCCTCTTGAAACACAGGGGTGTTGGGATCTATGATGATCTTGTTATGTACAAGTCATGAATTCAATAGCAAACGTAAACCTATGTGCAGCGTATCTAAAGGTTTGACGTAGAAAACTTATGGCTTAAAATTTTCTGAATCTATCGGATTCGGGATGACTGGGAACAGCACACGGTGGAGCCGAGATCACGAACGGATGGCGGGGATCGGCCGGTCACGCCGTCACGATCGGCCGTGTGGCTGGGGCGGTCACCGATCTTCGCGGGTTGGCCGTCGGCGGGATCGGCTCGTCGCGGCGGTCGCTCTGGCGGGTAGGGGTCGACGGATCTCGGCCTTCGGGTCGTGGCTCGTCGGCTCCGGTAGATGATCTCGATGTCTCTATTACCTTTGGGATCTTCTACTGTATCACTCTTAAACCTCTTCAACTTGTACTGGAGCAACAAGAAGAAGAAAAAGCTCGAATGAGATCTAGAGAGAGAGTATGGGGGGCGCATGTTTTCATGTGCATATTGGATCTCTCCTCTTCTCATGAGCTTAATGATGTATATATAGAGCTACAGTAGGGATCCTTAGGAGAATAAGAACAGGGCTTCTTAAGTAATGGACTAACTATGGGCAGACCCACTCCTCCAATTACTTAAATAATATTACGGTCCACTAACGTAATATTATTCCACTCCCTTTTCCTAGCCCAAATTACATTTGAGACTCCAATAATAATTACCCGAATTACCTCCCCATGTTTAAAATATAATGTTCATTAATTAATTCGACTACTGACAATCAAGAATTAATTAATATATTATATTACCAAAGCTAGCGTTCGTTCATCACATTATTATTATGCCGGAATTAAATTCACCTGCAGGGTTTAGCATAACAATTCTTAATGAACTCCGCGACATCATCAAACTAACGCACATGGTGATCGTAAATATCCTAACAGCACGTCATACATACATTAATATTACCTAAGACAGTAAGGATATTGATCCAGCGAACTAAACCTCACCAAGTGAATCAAAGTAATATATAATGCATATATATGTGTGTTTAATATCTTACGGGTTAAGAGAACGCAGTAATTAACCGAGGCCTAGTTCATTTACGACGATCAGTATAATACGAACTTTTCCTCTCTGGGATCCTTTACAATACATAAATGTACTAGTGCAACTAATTTGTCAAGACCAACTGTACTGTTGACATTACAACCGTTCGGATGGGGTGTTCATTTCCATCTAGGTTGTGAACCATAATTTTTGTTTCGCAAGTGACTGATATGATGATCTTTTTGTTCACCCGCTAAGTGAACCATCTCATCTAAATGCAAAACAACAGAACATAGAACTTGTTTAATCAAACATGATTGTCATTCATAAATGGCAAAAGGGCAAAAGTGTAATATCATCCAAAACTAAACTTTTAGTATATAACGCTAACAAAGGGTACCTTCGGGATTGCGGACACAGGTGGTGCATGGTTGTCGTCAGCTCGCGAGCCACTAATACTACACAAATCAATGACTATGATTGATTTTCACATCCAAGCTTCAGTAAGGGTCCTATTGGATCCACCCCTTAATTTATATTTCAAATGGTCGAATATTATTAAGTTGAAATTATAACAAATGTATATAAAATAATTAATATTTTTTATAATTTGCTAGTAAAAAATTGTATATCATTTTAAATAATTACTACTATATTAGTTTTTTCTTTTCCCGAAATGATAGAAGTACTATATTAATAAGACCGCACAAAGTGCGAAAATAAAGCAGCCAAAGGCTGAATAGTACAACCAAAGACTAAAAAACTGGAGGCAGATTCGGAGATCGCCTAGAGCCGACCCCAACAGGGTAATACTCGGGAAAACACACAAAAACACTAGACCAACCACACAAACAAAACTAAAAAAGATCCCAACAGGATAATACCTGAGTGTTTGATCCCAACAGGATAATAAGTTGACACTCGGGCTCACAGGGGCAAACACAAGACTGAACAACACGATACCAACAAACTAAGAACAATCCTAGAACAAACAAAAATAACTAAAATTAAAGAACTACAGCACTCCCTCAGGAACACACACATCCGAAGTGAACCGCGGACATAGACCGACCCCCTAGGAGAGATGCAAAGCCAAGGAACCACGCCCGCCACTGTCTAAAGCCTAGCAAGACGAAGACCCAAGCTCGGAAACCAAACCAGAGGACCCGACCCGCACTCCAACTGTAAACATCCACAATCCCCTCAACCGGCTAACACCACTATCCAATTCCAACACCGATTCGGACCCGACTAACACCACTAACCAAAATCGGAAACGGCGGGCCTCAAATGACTCAGCATCGGAGAAAAAGGGAGAAAGGGAAAAAGTGGCTGTAGAGCTCGGCTGCTCCAACCCCACCCGAACGAGCAACAAGCACCCCACCGAGCCCTCAACAGAAACCCAAGTTGTCTCCCCTACCTCGCCGATGAACCAATAACCGGAGGTTACTAGACAACCCCGATGGAAAACGGAGATCCAGATCGGGCCCATCTGCGGAAACCGACAATGGGAGTCGTCCCTCCACCGTGGCAACGCAAGCAAACTAAATCACCTCCACCCACTGGCGCCGCAACCCACCAAGCCCCCACCGCCCCAGGTCGCCGGCGGGATTCACCAAGATGAGAAACTTCCGAACACCCGACCAGCTTCCCGCGGCTTGATATGAAGGAAGAGGGGACCACGACCAAATCCATGGAAATGCAGCAGAGTCCAGTCCACGGACAAGCCCGGAAGGCCCTGTTGGGATCTGTGAGGATCTCCTTATGTACAAATCACGAATTCAATAGCAAACGTAAACCTATGCGCAGTGGATCTAAGTGTTTGACGTAGAGAACTTACAGCTTAAAATTTTTGTAGATCTGGCTGACCACGAACGGTTGACCGCAATTGATTGACCGAAAATCACGTCTTGGGTTGCACGAACAAGATCAGATCAAAACCGGATCAAACAGATGCAAACAGATCAAAACGAGATTTTGCTGCCAGGCACCTTCCGGCGGCGCGTGAGGGCACGTGCGGCGTCAGATTCCGGCGACGTCGGCGGCGATGGAACGGCGACGAACAATCGAACTCTCACTATATTTATTCCTTTTTCGACTTCTTCTTCCGAGTGCAGGATAACCCCACGGGGTTGTGGGTTTTTTTCTACCAATTGGGGCTCTCCCCTCACCACCCCCGTGGGGATGGTCTACGGGGTTCATAACTCCTCCTCTTACTACATGACGCTTACCTAGCCAACGCTTGGATCCGGCTCTACCCAAACTTTCTGATTCGCCCCAACATTCCCCACTTGTCCGACTGTTGCTGAGCAGTTTTTGGATATCAAACGGACCTCCCCAGAAGGTAATTTTAATGTGGCCGATTTCCCCTCTTTTGCAATCAGTCTCGCTACAGTACCCGCTGCTCTAACTAATTGTCCACCCTTTTCAAGTGTGATTTCTATGTTATGTATGGCCGTGCCTAAGGGGATATCGGTTGAAGTAGATTCCTCTTTTTGATCAATCAAAACCCCTTCCCAAACCGTCTTATGTACTTATGTATATATGTATATATCAATAAAGATGGTCAATCAAGCCTATTTTCTTTCTCGATTCAATAGAAGCTCAAAGAAAGAGGTGAATAGGGTCTAAAAAATAACAAGAGATATGGAAAAAGCAGGTCCGATTCCGTCTATTCCTAATCCTAAATGGAATGGAACGACGTAGGGATCCACATGTAAACATAGTATCTATTTAGATACGCTTGAACGACACCTTGAGAATGTATATAACCCTACCCCGGCCCGGTCCGGTATGGAATCAACTTATAATCGTGGAATTGACTCGATCATCAGATTATAAGTTCATAACCCTAGCCCATCCCCGTTTTGGTCGGAACAGATCTACTAATTCTTTGATTCTATTTTGATTTCCACCCTTACTAATTGTACCAAATACAGATAGTCAAAAAGAAAAATCTGCCTTTAGGAATCTATCCTATACAGGATTGTTCGGCCTCTCGCGGAAATACTTTGAAAGAATCAAATAATTTGCTGTGGTGAAACAAAATATCGCGCATTTCCCCCTCAAGTATATTGTTTTTTTTGTTTCCAAGGGGCTCCTGTTATGTTGTTCTGAGGGGAGCACTAATCCTTTCAACCCGGTACCGACGGGTATCCCCCCCCCCCCAACCACGTTCTCTTTCAAGCCTTTTAGCCAATCGATTCGACCCCGGAGAGCTGCTTTTACTAAAACCCTAGCGGTTTCTTGAAAACTCGCTTCAGATATAAAACTTTGAGTATTGAGAGATGCTCTTGTAATTTCCATTACTGACGGCCAAATCTTTTTATCTGCCGATCTATTCAATGCTGGAATCAGACCCACTATTAATGTGGGTATCTCCGTTTCCAGAGTAGGGTCTGCAGCTCAAATTAAAGCTATGAAACAAGTAGCTGGAAAATTAAAATTGGAACTGGCGCAATTTACAGAATTAGAAGCCTTTGCACGATTTGCTTCAGATCTTGATAAAGCTACTCAGAATCAATTGGCAAGAGGTCAACGATTGCTCTCGTCGAGACGGTCGTCTGGGTATACTGTACGTCTCAATCGGACTTCCGGTTAGTTCTGTAGGTCAAAATATATTTCGTCTCGGTTTACCTACAGATCTTCTACTGTATTACTCAATACACCCTTCTTCAACTTGTACCAGTGGAGCAACAAGAAGAAGATAAAGCTCGAATGAGATCCAGAGAGAGAGAGGCGTGTGAGGCGTGTTTCACGTGAGATGTGAACTCTCTTCTTTTCTCATGAGCTTAATGATGTATATATAGAGCTACAGTAGGGACCCTAAGGAGATTAGGAAAAGGGCTCCTTAATTAATTAGACTAACTGTGGGCCAAGCCCACTCTTCTAATTAATTAAATAATATTAATGGGCCACCAACATTATATTATTGTACTCCCTCTTCCTAGCCCAAATTACATTTGAGACGCCAATAATAATTACTCGATTTACCTCACCACGTTTAAGATATAATGTCCATTAATTAATTCGATTACTGACAATCAAGAATTAATTAATTTATTATTATTTCACCGAAGCTAGTGCTCGTTCATCACATTCTTATTATGCCGGAACTTAATCCACCTGCAGGGTTTAGCATAACAATCCTTCATGAACTCACTTCGGGGACATCATCAAACTAACGCACATGGTGACCGTAAATATCCTAACAGCACTTCCTATATATAATAATATTACCCAAAACAGTAGGAATATTAATCCAGCAAACTGAACCTCACCCATGTGAGTCAAAGTAATATATATTATATATATCTGCCTGTTTAATATCTTACGAGTTAAGAGAACGCAGTAATTAACCGAGGCCTAGTTCATTTACGACGATCAGTATAAAATGAACTTCTCCTCTCTGGGATCCTGTTCAATACATAAATGTACTAGTGCAACTAATCAGTCAAGACAAACTGTACAGTTGACACTACAACCGTTCGGATGGGGTGTTCATGTCCATCTAGGTTGTGAACAACTATTCTTGTTCGCAAGTAACTGACAGAGTGATCTTCGGTTCGCCCGATGACGACCCACCCTATCTAAGTGCAAAACAACAGAATGTAGAACTTGTTTAATCTAACATGATTCTCATTCATAAAGGGTAAATGTGTAATATCATGCAAAGCCAAGTTTTCAGTATATAACACTAACAATCTCCCACTTATACTTAAAGCTTTCGCTTTTACAGTATAGTCCTATCAATCCGTTATTCTAAAAGACCTATGTCGATCCTATTGCCATGCTCATGACTCCCATTCCTTCCACGTGTTTGACGAAGACCTTCCCCGGCAAACTCTTCGTGAAAGGATCAGCTAGGTTGTCCTCTGACGCAATCTTGGCAACATCAATGTCTCCTCTACCAACGATATCCCGAATCAGATGGTATTTGCGCTCAATGCGTTTGCTTGCCCTGTGGGCTCGAGGTTCTTTTGAGTTCGCTGCTGCTCCACTGTTATCACAGTACACGGTGATACCACGTGGCAAACTTGGTATAACCTCTAAGTCCACTAAGAAGTTCCTGATCCATACTGCCTCTTTCGCTGCCTCTGAGGCTGCTCTGTACTCGGCTTCCATGGTGGAGTCTGCCACGCATTTCTGCTTAGCACTCCTCCATGAAATGGCTCCACTTCTCAAGGTAAACATATAACATGAGGTTGACTTACTTTCATCTTTATCTGACTGGAAATCGGAATCACTGTAACCCAGAGGTAACAAGCTGCCTGCACGGTAAACTAACATGTACTCCTTAGTCCTTCTCAGGTACTTGAGTATATGCTTCACCGCAGACCAATGTTCCCGTCCCGGATTACTTTGATATCTAGCTACCATGCCAACGGCGTAGCTAATATCCTGCCTTGTGCATAGCATTGCATACATGAGACTTCCTACTGCCGAAGCATAAGGAACTGTCTTCATCTCCTCTATCTCCTTAGACGTCTTAGGAGACATCTCCTTAGATAGAGGTATTCCATGTCTGAAAGGTAACATACCTTTCTTGGAATCCTGCATGCTAAATCTGGCCAAGACAGTATCTACATATGAAGACTGGGATAAGCACAACATTCTCTTCTTACGGTCTCTAATGAGCATAATACTAAGAACGTGTCCTGCTTCACCTAAGTCCTTCATATCAAACTGCTTAGACAACCACACCTTTACGTCTGATAACTTATTCTTACTGTTTCCAATAAGCAGTATGCCATCTACGTAAAGCACAAGAAACACCACCACGCTCCCACTGATTTTCTTGTAAACACAGTGCTCATCCGGACATTGAGTGAACCCGTACGACTGGATCACCTCATCAAAACGGATGTTCCAAGATCTCGAAGCTTGCTTCAGTCCATAAATAGACCGATTAAGCTTACACACTAGATGCTCACGACCTTCAGCAATGAATCCCTCTGGTTGCTGCATATAGATGTCTTCCTGCAGTTTCCCATTAAGGAAAGCTGTCTTGACATCCATCTGTCAGACCTCATAGTCCATATGAGCGGCTACAGCCAAGAGAATCCGAATGGACTTAAGCATAGCTACTGGCGAAAAGGTCTCATCATAATCAATACCCTCGATCTGGGTATAACCTTTCGCAACAAGCCTAGCCTTAAAGGTTTGCACCTTCCCATCCAATCCTCTCTTTCTCTTATAAATCCACTTACATCCAATGGGTCGTGCCCCATCGGGTGGTTCTACAAGATCCCAGACCTGATTAGAATCCATTGACCCTATTTCAGCTTTCATTGCAACATTCCATGAATCTGCATCCTTATCTTGGAGTGCCTCATCGTAAGTTCTTGGGTCCGATTCTAGGCCTCCTGGAATCCTCCCACTGTCGGGTAAATGAGAAACCTCCCACTGCGACGAGGCACTGTCTTCACTGGTACACTCTCAGAGTGTCGTGTTGCAGTATTATGTGATGTATCTACTTGCGCACTCGGTGGAGAACCATCGATTTCACCCCTTAACTCTTCTAAGACTAGTCTACTCGCGGGCTTATGATTCATAATATATTCTTCTTCCAAGAATCTAGCATTCGTCGAAACGATCACCTTCTGATCCTCAGGACTATAAAATAATCCACCTTTCGTTCCCTTGGGATAGCCTACGAAAACTCGTGCTTCCGAATGTTTCTCCAACTTGCCAGGTTCCTGCACTAACACGTGTGCAAGACTACCCCAAACTCGAAACTGTGAGAAACTGGGCTTGCGCCCTTTCCACATCTCATAAGGGGTAGTGTCAACTGACTTCGACGGAACCATGTTCAGAATATACGATGCCGTTTCCAATGCTAAACCCCAGAACGAATCTGGTAACCTCGAATAACTCATCATAGACCTAACCATCTCCATAAGAGTCCTATTTCTTCACTCTGCAACCCCATTCTGCTGGGGCGTGCCGGGTGCAATCAGTTGGGATTCAATCCCAGCTTCCGATAAGTATGTCCTGAACTCTCCAAAAAGGTATTCGCCACCTCAATAAGAACGAAGTGACTTGATACATTTACCATGAAGCTTCTCCACAACTGCCCGATACTCCTTGAATTTCTCAAAGCATTCGGACTTGCGGTGCAACAGATAAACGTACCCATATCTCAAGTAATCATCTATGAAAGACACATAGTACTCGAAACCTCCTCTAGCCTGGATCGACATAAGACCACACAAATCAGAATGAATCAATCCTAGCACTTCTTGGCTCCTATACCCCTTTGCCGTAATTGGCCTCTTGGCCATCTTACCTTCCAGGCATTATTCGCAAGTTGGATAGTGATCTTCCAATGGACCGAGATGTCCACTGGCCACTAACTTTTGAATCCTCCTAAGGTTGATGTGCCCAAATCTAAGGTGCCACAGATATGCTTGATTCATCTGCGAAGACTTCTTCCTCTTATTAGATGTAGTTATGACATTATTCAATTCATTATGTTGCACTGTGGGAGAGTTCGATTTGAGAACATATAAATTGCCAACTAATGAACCACAACATATGAAACGATTTTCAAAACGTATAATAACCATGTCATCAAACGAAACTGAAAAACCATCCATAACGAGTTTAGAAACTGAAACAAGGTTCTTTCTAAAGCTAGGAACATAAAGGCAATTTCTCAAAACCAAACTACTACTATCGAACGATAAAGTAACGTCTCCCACTGCAACAGCCGCCACTTTCGTAGCATTGCCCATGTAGACGGTGATCTCTCCCTCCCTAAGTCGCTTGGTTTCCTGGAACCCCTGCAAAGAATTGCAGACATGATCAGTGGCTCCAGTATCTACACACCAGGTTCTGGTAGATACAACCGCTAAACATGTTTCTACGACATTAACGAGAGAGTTACCTTTCTTGAGGAGAGGGCAATCGACCTTCCAGTGTCCTGACTTATTGCACTTGTGGCATCTTCCTTTCAGTTTCTTTGCCACAGCCTGAGGAGTCAGTCGTGGGTAAACCGGAGCATCTTGTGCCTTCGCCTTTCCTGCAGACTTCTTTCTATTCCTGCCCTTGTGAGGCCTGGAAGGTCCAGCCTGCTCGGCGACTAGCACCTGAGGTGCTTGAGTGAATAAGGCCTCCGCCGACTGTAGCTCTGCAAGCAGTTCTGGAAGATTCATATGCATCTTGTGCATGTTGTAGTTCAACCAGAACTGATCAAAGCTCTTCGGCAGAGATTGGAGCATAATATCAACCTGGGTTTCCCCGTCAATATAACCTCCCATAACCTCAAGCTCATTGAGCTGCGCCATAGCCCTGAGAGCGTGCTCCCTTACGGGTGTGCCCTCGGCCATGCGCGTTCATCAAAGCACTCAAAGCCTCTTGCCTAGCAGCCCTAGACTGATGTCCGAACAGATCCCTGAGATTGAGAAGTATATCTGCTGCAGTGTCCTTAGACTGATGCTGGTGTTGAAAAACATTCGACATAGAAGCCAGAATGTAACACTTAGCCATCTCATCAGCCTTCTTCCACCGAGCATACTCCTCTTTCTCCTGCTCAGGAGCATCAGCCGCCGGCACCGCCGGGCAAGCATCAGTGATAGCAAACTTATAACCCTCAGGAGTTAACAATATGTCTAAGTTCCTCTTCCAATCAATGTAATTAAGACCAGTAAGCTGATTTTCTTTTAGAATGACAGACAACGGATTGAACGACATGATGAATATCTTGAGAATCATGCAAATAAATTTTACAGATTAAACACTTTTGAATTTAACTGTTAATATTGATATCCTCAAAACAACATTAACTTAAATTCACCGACATCTATTACACCTTATGAGAATGCATGCTACGAGGGTCGCCCTACAAACTCGCATTTTGTAAGAGAAGGGCTTTTCTAAGGCCCATTAATTTCCATAAGTCAAAACCAAATTCATGACGAACGAAATTAATAGTCGGTCTCCATTTGGCCATGCAATAGAATTCAGGGACCCCGAGGGGGGTTAATAAATTTAATCGCATTCTAAGTGAATCCCATTACTTGGTCCTAAGGTCGTCAAATTTGATTATACGTCATCCGAGGGGAAGCCCGTACGCTCTCATAAGATTTTCTCTAACCGTCTAATATTAGAAATTTGTCCTGGTAATTTCCTACAATTAAATTTTAGCAATGTCACCCGAGGGGGAGCCCATTACCGCAGCTTAATTGATTTACCGAAAAATTAAAAATGGAGGCCTTAGGAATTTTACAATTAACTTTAATTTAAAATCCCTTCTCAAACTTAGTATAATTTAATGAGGATTTTTAACTATTTATACAATTTCAAATTAATCTATGTTAATGCAATAATTAATTAACATGCATATTAATTCATGCAATTCTAAATTAATCTATGTCAATGCAATAATTAATTAACATGTTCAATAATTTATGCAATTCTAAATTAATCCATGTCAGTGCAATAATTAATTACATGCATAATTTATTGACACAATTCCAAATTAATTCTATGCATTACATAATTAATTAACATGCATAATTAATCTAGCAATACTAAATTAATCCCATGCAAGAACATAATTAATTAACATGCATAAATAATAATTTAATGGCATAATAAATTTAAATAAATAAATCCACTATTATGGCCATTAAATATTGAGTCTCCTTAAACAAGGAAACCATGACAGTTCTTTCCCTGTTCAACTAGAACTCCTTTAAGCAGTAGAATCCTGGTTGATCTTGTACTGCTTGGACAAGAAGGCAAAACCTCTCCACTTCCTGCAGCCAACCGCCGACCGCCGCCTGGCCGCCGGCCGCCGCCGCCGGTGGTCGGAAAAACGCGCCGTTTCCTTTTTTTTTTATTCTTCGAGGCTCGTTGATCTCTTGTGATCTCCCGGTTATCAACACTCGATCACAACACGAAAAATATAATTTACAAAATTACATAATTCGATCCTAGATCCAACGAATGGATGTACATGTTTTCTAAACAAATAATTAAATCTATCCGGTCAACCCCCGAGCGAATAATTATTACGAACATTCATCCATAAATTCCTCGACATGCCCGAGGCTTTAAAAACAAATTTAATACCATACATCACATTCAACAACATTCATCAAACACATAATCAGCCATAATAGTGGATTAACTATTTTCCTGCAAAACCGAGTTATGCAAATATAATCCAATATATGGCTGCGTTTGAACACATCTTGTCAAATAAAGCCCTTAAAAATTCGAACTTTGTACAAAACGAATTAACCAAGTGCTCTGATACCACTTTTTGTGATCTGTGAGGATCTCGTTATGTACAAATCATGAATTCAATAGCAAACGTAAACCTATGCGCAGCGGATCTAAACGTTTGACGTAGAGAACTTACGACTTAAAATTTATGTAGATCTGGCTGACCACGAACGGTTGACCGCAATTGATTGACCGCAAATCACGTCTTGGGTTGCACGAACAAGATCAGATCAAAACCGGATCAAACGGATGCAAACAGATCAAAACGAGATTTTGCTGCCAGGCACCTTCCGGCGGCGCGTGAGGGCACGTGCGGCGTCGGATTCCGGCGACGTCGGCGGCGATGGAAAGCTCTCGTCGAGACGGTCATCTGGGTATACTGTACGTTTCAATCGGACTTCCGGTTAGTTCTGTAGGTCAAAATATATTTCGTCTCGGTTTACCTACAGATCTTCTACTGTATTACTCAATACACCCTTCTTCAACTTGTACCAGTGGAGCAACAAGAAGAAGATAAGGCTCAAATGAGATCTAGAGAGAGAAAGGCGTGTGAGGCGTGTTTCACGTGAGATGTGAACTCTCTTCTTTTCTCATGAGCTTAATGATGTATACATAGAGCTACAGTAGGGACCCTAAGGAGATTAGGAAAAGGGCTCCTTAATTAATTAGGCTAACTGTGGGTCAAGCCCACTCCTCTAATTAATTAAATAATATTAATGGGCCACCAACATTATATTATTGCACTCCCTCTTCCTAGCCCAAATTACATTTGAGACTCCAATAATAATTACTCGATTTACCTCCCCACGTTTAAGATATAATATTCATTAATTAATTCGATTAGTGACAATCAAGAATTAATTAATTTATTATTATTTCACCGAAGCTATCGCTCGTTCATCACATTCTTATTATGCCGAAACTTAATCCACCTGCAGGGTTTAGCATAACAATCCTTCGTGAACTCACTCCGGGGACATCATCAAACTAACGCACATGGTGACCGTAAATATCCTAACAGCACATCCTATATATAATAATATTACCCAAAACAGTAGGAATATTAATCCAGCGAACTGAACCTCACCCATGTGAATCAAAGTAATATATATTATATATATCTGCCTGTCTAATATCTTACGGGTTAAGAGATCGCAGTAATTAACCGAGGCCTAGTTCATTTACGACGATCAGTATAAAATGAACTTTTCCTCTCTGGGATCCTGTTCAATACATAAATGTACTAGTGCAACTAATCAGTCAAGACAAACTGTACAGTTGACACTACAACCGTTCGGATGGGGTGTTCATGTCCATCTAGGTTGTGAACAACTATTCTTGTTCGCAAGTAACTGACAGAGTGATCTTCGGTTCGCCCGATGACGACCCACCCTATCTAAGTGCAGAACAACAGAACGTAGAACTTGTTTAATCTAACATGATTCTCATTCATAAAGGGTAAATGTGTAATATCATGCAAAGCCAAGCTTTCAGTATATAACACTAACAGGCCCGCTGAGAGAGGCGAACCAACGATTTGGGGGTTTTTTCTTTGTCGGCAGAGCGAAAATACCCTACTACTCTATTATTTACTCATTGTACTATAATTTCATAATGACAATATAATATTTTTATACATTCAAATTTTATTATACAATGTTTTTTTTCAAACACCAATGTAGTAAACATGCGTTGTACTGATAAAATGTTAATTAGAAAAACTGATGTGAAAACTAAATTAATATAAGATATATTGAACAGGATCCCACAAAGAAGAAGTTCGTTTGATGTGGATTCTGTAAGTGGAAATTGCGTTATCATATAAAAACTCCACATTATTGGGGGTTGAATATTTGATATAAAATGTAAAAATATGGACACATCACATATCTATTTGCAATATGTTGGAGCACATTATGATTTGACGCTGAGGAAGTATCAAATATTGACTCGCACATTGGTGGGATATCTATATCATATTGACAGCCTCCATCAATACACCTCCTCCAATAAGAAGTTCATTAGAGTTCTATAAAAGAACGTACATTATTAACATTGTTTTTAGGACACATATTTTTTCTTACTAAGTGTTTTATTTAAGTGATTGAGAAAAGAAACAGATAATGAGTTTTGTTCGTTTCAATTACCATTAAAGATGTCATTGGATGATTAGATAATAGAAATAATATTATAAATGGTCCCCTAAGTTAGCCAAGTTACGTAAATGTGTGTTATGTTGAACAATCATTAATCTCGATTCATTATGTTGGCATTATTCTAATACAAATAGTGAAAAATATTGATGTGACTGCTTATGTAATTTTTATTGTCTTAATTACAATTAACAAATCAAATACTCAAAAGAAAAAGAAATCTTAAACTATCTTTTGATTTACAAAATCAATAAATTTAGTTCATTATTTTATTTATCCTAATCATTTATTTTTTCAGAACGATATTAATCACATATATTCACAACACAAACAAAACTAGAGAACAACTACTCAGCCGATTAAAACAGTCAACAGCCGAATAAGCTGAACAACTGACTCTATAGGGACGACTACACGTACAGACAGACGACAACCTAGAGTCAACCTGCAACAAAATACAACAAAAAACAGCCAAAAGGAGAATAAAACAAAAACTCTCAATAGGATATTACACCAAACACACTCTCAACGGGAGAGAAAAGGAAAAAACACAACCGAAACAAACCACAACACACAAACAATAACAAAACAACCTAAACACATACTAGAAACTAGACGAACTAGAAATATGCCCTTCCCAACAGCTGGCACACACGCCAAAAGTCACCCGACAGCAACCTACCACCCCAACGACCAGACCTAGCTCCGAGATGCCACTCAGAAAACTACCAAGAACGCCTAATTGGAACCGCTATCCTAGAACCCAGCCTAGCACCCAAGTGGTCGACCTCAACCGTGACCCTGAAGCCTGAAGAACTCTGACCCAACTCCCTCTGCACATCCGCCGTCCAAATCCTTCCCACACCACGACTAGGAAGAACATAAGACATCAGCCACCCTTTTAACCCAAACACTAGGGGAAAGCGGCACAGGAGAGAAGGCGACAAAGCCTCCACCCCGACCACCACCATCGACAATCAGAGCCACATCTACTCCCCGAGAAGCACAACTGCCAGACCCCGACGTGACACCGATGGCAAAACATCCCAAGACGACAGCCAGATTTAGGCCAAAACCGACTGGATCGCTCTCCGCATCCCGCTCTGCTGAGACCAACAACCAGGGCGGAGGTACAGCCAAGTTTACCTGGGCTGTAGCCCAGGGAAAATAATCACTATTTCATGTATTGTATACTGAATTTTATAATTTAGCCCGGGCTCAATTTCAATAAACTTAAAACTAGCCCACCCAGTCCAACAATAAATATAAAATGTACATGAAAGTCCAATTAAATATTGTAACTAATTTAATAGTCAAATTACACAGAGGGAGCCGCCGTCATTTTCAATTTGCAAGTTGCAATTGTACATTCACCCTTCTGCAAGACTGAGTCTGAAAGCCTTGCCCACCCGTCCGCCCAAATTCCTTCTTCAGGTGGAAATTTTAAAATATATTTGCTCTTTAGTTTTTATTATTCTTTTAGTAAATTATCATGATAGAAAATTAATCATGTTTAATAAATTACTACAATTTTTATAATTTGTCAGATGTAGATTTATATTCACAACAAGCTATGACTTTTTTAGTTTTATTTTACAATAGGTCATGATGATTTTGTATTTTTATGTTAACATCTTTTTGATTAGGTATTTTAATGTTAAATCAAGAGAGAAAAAGACCAAATATTATCTCGTTCTTCATTGTAAAATGAAATAACTGGTTTAATAATTTTTTTGTCTAACATTTGTTAATTTTATACAGGATACAAAAGTTGTAAATGAGAAATGAAGAAAACAAAATGTTTGTTGGAATGCAATAAAAATATACATTTTTTATTAATTTGTTGTATACAAATATGTAGATTTTTTTTTTAGTCAAAAATAATTCTAGCCGAGTAGATTTAAAATTCTGGCTCCGCCCCTGCCAACAACAACGGGGGCCAGCAGCGCAGCCCGAAGCCGGCTGCCGTCGCGAAACCCAACTCCCCGCTGGGAAGGCTCGAAGAAGAAAAATTGAAAGCAGGAAGAGAGATCTGAGGGAAGGGTTTTTTTAGAGAGAGGAAAGAGTTGTAGGGTTTATTTGAACAGATGAGAGTGGGTGGGTCCTTTATCCTAATCATTAATAATGCAAACGTTCGTAGTGTGATTCTAAAGTCTGAGGTGATATATTAATATGCCGTAATGGAAGCTGGACATGGTATACAATTCGAAAAAATTATCATATTTCAATGGTAAAACATTCTAGTGAAAATTTTAATGTATATTTCTATGATATAGTTTTCGTTGAAAAGTTCTAACAGTTATTCCAACGGAAATCAATACTATAATATCCATTGGGGTTGTATTTTTCGTGGATTATAATTTGAATTTGATAATTTTAATGGCTATTTTTCCAATAATTTATTATTGTAGGAATTTTTGTTGAATTTTTTTCCACCTATATTTTAACCGTAGAAATATCTATTATTGGAATCGTTAAATTTCAAAAAAAATTTCAATAAAAAAATTATTTCAATGGAATATTTTGCTGAAACTTTCGCTGAAATTTATTGAAAAATCCAATGAAAATAATGACATCAAAATATCCTTTGAAATCATTGTTGGAATTTTATTGGAATATATTTTCATTGAAATTTCATCATCTTGTAGGATGATAAATATTTTTCTATTATTCTTTTTTTTCTTTTAAACACTATACGAACATGGAAAACTTTAAGGAAAAACTTTTGAACAATGCATTCATACTGCCTCAGCCACACTCAAATCATAAAAGTTCGTTTCGCCTCTTCCAACCATTCGACAAGGCTCCATATGGTGTAAAGAGACAAAAATGATAAGAAAATTGCGTGTCATCTAACATTGAATTTGATGATTAAATAAGAACTTTGCACTATTTTTTTAATACAAATACAAACATAATGGACCAAGTTAGATTATACATGTGAGCATTCGAGAAGGCTCCGAATGGTGTCAGAAAGAGACTAAATGATAAGAAAATTGCGTGTCATCTAACATTGAATTTGATGATAAATAAGAACTTTTTTCACTGTTTTTTTAATACAAATACGAACATAATGGACTAAGTTAGATTATGTGATGACAAATTAGTGAATTATTTTTAAATTTTTAATTAGAAAATTAGTTAATAATTAAGAATAATACAATAATAAAAAGTACATAATCCTGTTGTGACAATTTTTTATCAATTACTGTTGAAATGTCAACTAATGGATCAAGTTTAATGGAGTGATATGGTGCACCATATATGTCTGTAAGTATGCTAAATTAAAAAAGATTAGTGAATTTTTCTTTAGATAACTATTATCAGATTAACGTTTTAGGTTTTAAATTATGGACTAACAAATATGATTATATATCGCAATAGTGGCATCTCTAATGATGTAATCGATTATTATTATTATAAAACCAAAATAAAACGATGGGATGCAAGACTGCTTCATTAAGTTCCCGAATTACGGTACCTGAGTTACAGCACTATAGTCAATTTAATTTCCACAATTTTTTTTCCTTTTAGTGCACAAAAAGCTATGTTTCGAGCTAAATAATAGGCTTTTTGATTTAAAGTCAACAAATGTCTAATCTTCGGCAAAAGTCAACGATAACGTGCACTTCATTGTTAGCTCCCTCTTGATTGAACTAGTCTTTTTTTTTTTCCTCACGTCAAATTAACTATATACCACCTCAAAATAAAGTACACATCGAACAATTAACTGATTGTTACAATATACAGGGCTTGCTCACACAGTGATCCCTTACAACCTAAAAGCTTAAAGGAGTCAAAACAGGAGTAAATAATACTAACCAAGCTTCAAGATCCAATCTAAAAAACAAAAGAAGAAAAAAAGTTCAATAACATATACACATCACTAAAAAGTACATTGCAACTAGAATTAAAAGGCACCTTCTTGTTCAGCTTGGACATAAAGGCTTTGTTGTCCAGGCAGCAGCCAACACTCTCCCAACCAGCATGCACGGCCTTCAAAAAAGCCACCTTACAGCAACTAGCCACATCCTCAAAACCATAAGCTCTGTTTTTAGATCTGAGTTGATTCTCCCTCATTTGAAGCAGCACAAGACACTGAAATTTGATTAGTTGTAGACTAATAGGCACTGACAGTGAGCAACCACTGATCTACCATGTTGGAAAAGCATTCTTCACTCTCCTAACCACCCTGAACCCCAACACACCCTGTATACTCTTTCTTAACATTCACAACAGCAAACTCAACCCATTCAACCCTAGCCCTTTCAACTACCTCTCTTTCAGTCACTCTTTCTTGCCAAAACACCCAAGCATTTCTTGTTTTCTAGAGCCATCAAAGAATATAAGTTGAAACACTAACCCTATCTTTGAGGCTACTAGTCCACCTATCCTTACTTACATCACCCCAAAACAGTTTAAAATAAGAGGTATGATTAGACACACCACTCAGCTTCCACAATAACTTAGCCCTATAGCAATTTAAAAGTATATGATCAAGGTCCTCAACTCCATTCCCACAAAGAGAGCAAATACCATAATCCACCAGATTGCTTTTCAGCAGTTGGTCTTTGGAGCTCAAAAAATAAAACCAACACTTCCATATGAAGTGTTTAACTTTGTGCTTGTCAGGGAGCTTCCAATTAGAAGTCCACATCTTCTTCCTACAGCAAAGCATCTCACTAGTCTCAGGGGTCTCCCTCAACAATAAATCTCTATTCAAGATGGCCTCATAAACAGACTTGAAAGAAAAATCCTATTTCTACCAAACTGCCAAATGAGCCTATCTCTTCTACCCAACACAGACTGGGGGATTTTAAGAATAGCTTCAACTTCACTTGGATGAAATGTTTGGTCGATAAGCTCCCTATCCCAAGTACCTTCCCCTTGGTTCACTAAATCACTGACCTAAAGGAGATTGGATCTGTTAGAAAGAAACTGAAAATAGGGTTTAAAGAGAGGGACACTAGGCACCAAGGGGAATCCCAATTATTGATATTTCTACCATCCCCAACCTGGTGCCTAGTCAGAAAGTCCTTGACCCCAAGTGTGCTCTGCTCCGTGAATTTCCCTTCGCAAATAATTCTTTTCCTCTGCCTTTGGTGTTTGTCCCATTTTTGTGGCGTTTTTCTTACTTATTTTTTATTTCTTTTTCCTCCGTTTTAGGTCTTTTCATTCGTTTTTAGTTCATTTTGTATATTATTGCGTGTTTTCCTCTATTTGGTGTTTTTCTGTATTTATCGGTCGTTTCTCAGTTTTCTCCGCTTTTGTGTTTGTCTGTGGTGTGTAGGTCAGGTGCCTCGTCGACTGTGATTTTAAGGAGAAAAATATTCTGGGCAAGCTTAATTTGTAGAGGGCTTCATTGGCGACAAGCAGAAAAAAACGGAATAGAATTCCGAGTCCAAATGAGCTCGAACGGGCCCCGAGAACAAAGTCGAGCAGGCTGCCCAGACCTCCACGCCCGAGCACCGCGCTGTGACGGCCGTCACGCGTGTACTGTGGCTCACCTATCGGGCGCCGCGCCGCGGGGACCATCGTGCTGCGGGACCTGCCTTCTCTCCACGTCGTGGGCTGTCTCGTGCCACCGTCACGGGCCTTCAAAAGATGGCTGCTCGCACGCCACGCCGCGCCAGCCGAAGCCCTTCACACCGCGGCACATCACCCGACGCACGCCACGGAGCTTCAGAAGACTCATCCCAGCCATGCTCCACGCCGCGACCAACCTCCAAGACGCGCCAGTCCGCCCCTCCGCGCTGCGGTGCCTTGTCGCGCCGCGCCACCCGAGCAACTCGCGCCGTGCCTCAACCTCCTCGCGCCGTGGATCCATGCTGCTATATATATTAGTTCGGGACTCTCTCAAAGGGCATCTCTCATTCGACGAATACAGAAACCCTTCCCGTCTTGTTTTCTTTTGCTCTTTTCATTTTTCTTCATCGTTTTCAACGTAGAATAAGGATTTAAGCTCGGATTT